ACCCTTTCCTCGGCAACACCTTCCCTTGTTTTGTTGCGACCGTGTTGAATCCCGTTTCATCCACGTTGTAGATGCATGTGGGACTGAACTGGGCAGAATCCATCTGCGACTCAAGGTTGTCGAAGAACGCGTTGACATTGACTGAGTTGAACGTCGCGGCGCGAGCAACGTTTGTGGCCTCTGGTGTCCTTAGTGAGACCGTGGGGTTCCTCTTGCGGAAGCACTGTATCCGCGCCTCCCCTGCCATCTTCGTCACCGTGCTGAATGGGTGGGTGATTTGTTTCTGTCTACGAACTCATATGCGAGCTTGTTGAGGTCAGTCAGCGTTATTCCGAACATCCGGTTTTGGAGCTCCATTACGTGATGTACCAAATCTCGCTCCTGAGCTTCCGTGAAAACAGGTTTGTGTCGACCGAGGACCTTCTCTGTGGCCTCTGTTATTGACATCGCCCGTGCCTTTTTCAGCCGTCTGTCGAGAGTCGACTTCGGTACCTGAAAGCGGCGTGCCGCTTCTTTGGTGGACATTTTTCCCACCTCGACTGCTTTGATGGCCTTTGCTATCGTATCCTGCTTCCAGGATTGCCGGTCGGTTTTTCTCTTGTAATTTCGAACCATTCTCCGTGTGGCGATGTACTTCCTCTGTAAAAAAAGAACGTCAGCGTGAACGTTGAACGGATTTGGGAGGGTCAGTTGCCCCTTAAGCCCCCTCCCCCTCTTCCCACCCCTCCCTGGGCGCGTCAGTGTACCTTTTTATAAACTATTCCTTTTTATAAACTAGGAAAACGTTTACCTGCTACGAAAAATTAAGTACAATTATCAAAGCGAAATACCTAACTGCATACCTATGACTAGTTGGTAATATGGCATTTGATTTCTTCTGTTAAATTAGTTACGTTTAATATTAAGGGCGATATGATAAAACACCTTCTATGTAATACTATGCAATAAGTCAGTCCTGATGTTTAAGGAACAAGAAACGGTTGAACTGTTTAATACTTTAAAAACAAAACATTGAATCGTATATGTTTAAAGGGAATGTAAGGTGTTTCCCCACTTTATTGGAGTTAGCAGCGTTGCTGGGCACAACATGATAAATAAACATTAAAACTTACAATTTGTTGGGTCTTGCCCATAAGCGGAGAAAAGAAAATCTAATCGATTTTTACGCCGGTTCTGTCAGACAGAATACCTATGCGGTAGTACTTACGCCAGTGCCTGTGCACGCAGAGCAATGCACCCTTTAAATGTACTGAAAAGTACGAAATGTACTGAGTTTTATGCGATGATGACCAAAAATGTGTTAACTTTTCACCTTTTCATAGCCTAAGTTACTTCTTAAGATACTTTTTTCATAACGGGTCGGTCAGAATCCGTTGCTTGTTTGCTGACTAACAATTAAGTTATAGAGGCTATCAAAGAGATGGGCAAATGTGTCGTACTGAATCAACTCATCACAGGTAGCTACGTACAATTCTTATGTTCACAAATAAGCTTTGTTGAGCAACATAATTACAATAAATTAGACGTGAAAGAAACCATAAATATAGAGCAATCACACGCACACCTTCAATAAATCATAAACGACAAATCGCGAGGCCGCACATTCCCAGTTTGACGCAGTAGTTCAACCACTATTCAATCATAGAACTGAAACAGGACCGATTCACTTGTTTCGGACTCTACTGATGTGCCTGCTACTACCAATGAAACATTGCGTCCATGGCTTATTTAAGCCAAACTTTCTTTGCAATAGTCATAATTCAGGTGGAGCAAAACGGGACCCTTTGTGTCCTATTATCCCCTGAGTGCCCATTTTGCCCCAACCATCCTGCCCAATGGACGCCAACAACACAGCATGATTCGACACGCAACGAAAACTGGCCCGAAAAATTCACAATTGCTCGCAAGGAATCTGCATGCATACGCCATCAAAGTGCAGCACCTTTGAATTCACGATTCATTATACTTGTGGAATAAACAATGTTCAAATCATCATAAAAATAATAACAAAAAATGGAAAGCGAAAACTCATGTCCTCCTCCAACGACGGCCGCCGACAAAAAGGCCCAGTGCACGTCATTTCCCGTCCCTGGCAGAGCAGCTTTAGTTTATAACCATTGATTTTCCGATGGCGCCACCTCTAACAGCCGAATCGCGGCGTGCCCGTTTTACCAGGGGCCTCATTTTGCCTCGTTTACTCCTATATATATATACATATATATATCTATATATATATATATATAATATATATATATATATATATATATATATATTATATATATATATGTACATAGTGGTATCCGACTGATAAATATGCAAACCGAGTATATATATATATATATATATATATATTATATTATATATATATATATATATATATATTATTATATATGTGTATGTGTTGTGTGTGGATGTGTTTTGGTGTGTGTGTGTGTGTGTGTGTTTCTGATTATGTGCACTGTAAAAGGAGAAGGTGTGTAGTTGTTTTTGGTTTTCCAAATATACGGCTACGATTAGTTTAGAACATCTTTGATTAATTGTGGTGATAAAATGTGCATTTCAGTCTTGCAACAGTGATTATTTAGTTACTTGTATCGAACACATCCATCGCTGTGCGTGGACAACACAATGCAAACGTTGCGCAATAGGCTTGAGCACGAGTCAGCCCATTACTTTAGTTTATCATGGAACTGAGCACGTACGCGACCTAAGAGGATTACATTTACTGCAGATTACTGGAAATCGCCCGCGTAATCCTGTTACCACCCTTCTGCTGCGGCGTCCGTCTGGTGCGCGCCCGTGGCCGCGCCGACAACAGCGCTGTTGTGACGGTGATATCGTCGATTTTCAAATAAATAGTGGGAAGGTGCAATGAGCAAAGCTTTGCATATCTAGAGCAGATAGAGCTAAAGCTTTGGTAGAAATACAGAACATTTATGTATCACCTTTGCATATTATGCAACATTATGCGCCTCCATAGCGTAGCAGGATATGCATAGCAACACTTGCATTTCCACTGCACGATCAGAGTATCACACG